TCCTGCATTGAAGCTCTTCGTATGATGATATGTATATTCTTGCATAATCCAACCAAATCTGCCCATTGCAACAGGTCAGATACAAAAGCAGAGGTGTGAATGTAGCTGTCTTCTACTAAGCCAGGGGAGAAAGATTTTTGAAAGTGTAAGACAATGTAACTCTTTTTACTAAGTTCATTTTTTTGAGAAAATATACCTATTTTCATAGAGCTATGTTTTTTATGTTAACATGTTTGTTATGTTCTTTATGTTAACATGTTTATTTCTTTTAATAAATCCATATGTATGTAATTCAGAATTTTCTCAATTTTAACTTCTAGGACAATAAATATTAATAGATATAACTCATATAAAAACTCATTAGGGTCTTCAATAATATTTAAGTGTATTAAGAGATCCTGAGACCAAAGAGTTTGAAAACTGATGAATTAGACAAGAAGTCACTATTGAATTTATAGAGAATAGTTTCAGGAGAGCTACAGAATTCATTCAAATGAAATGAATTATAAATGGTGACAAGGAAGACATGAGAGTGACTATATAATAAGCGTGGCTGTAAAATCTAGGTGACAGAGTGGCCATAATCTAATTAGTATACAGATTAGATAAAGTATTTTTTTAAAAAGGAGTTACTTTCTTCCTAAATTAATTAATTTATAAATTTAAAGAGATCCTATCAAAATATAAATAGACTTTTAAGATGGAACTAGGAAAGTTAATATTAAAACTCATGGAAAATTAAACATCCCAGAATGTCTAGGCAAACTCTGAAAAATAAGACTAATGAATGTGAATTAACCATATCAGATGACAAAGTTTATTACAAAACTTTTATAATTAAAAAAGTGTGAAATTGGCACACAAACAGACACACTGGTGGAATAGAATATAAACTTCAGAGATAGACCCATATATATAAGAAAATTTAATATACTATAAAGATGTCATTAAAAAAATCACAGAATTGATGGACTTTTAAAATAACTGGCATGAGACAGCTGAATGATTATCTGAAAAAAGGTAAAATCGAATGTATATCTCACCGTATACACAAAATAACTGCAATAAATCAGAGGTGCAAATGGAAAATATTAGAAATATGTGTGATTTATTGTCTACTCTGTGGGGAAAGAATTTATAACTATCAACATAGAAATGAAATCTGATTGATAAACTGCAAAAAAATTATATAGTAAATAATATACACAGAAAAAATGTTTTCATTTATAACATGTAAAATGTTTTTTATCTGTAAAGTGTTTATTATCTATTAAAATTAAGAAATAGAAAAGTAAAAGCCAGATAGAAAAATGAGCCAAAGGCACAATCACTTTGTGAAAAACTGATTTAGGAATGGTACTTAAACATATGAAAACAAGCTCGATTTCAATCACAATAAAGTAGAAGCAGACTACAGTACACTGAGATAACATTTCTCACCTATTGGATTGGTAAAATTTTTAAAATTAAAAGTATACTTTATTAGCAAGGCTTTGGGGAATCAGGCTCTTTTGCTTTGCTGGTGGGAAGAAAAGTGGTTCAACCATTAATTAAATATATATGTATACATTTATGCCTTGATTAATCAATTCCACTTCTAGGAAATTTTGCTGAAATTAAACTTCCAAAGATATGGAACATGGACACACCCAGAATAAGAGAAAAACAGAGGTATGCACATGATCATTTCTGGTGGAATTATTAGTAATTATAAAATAGTAGAGACAAATGCTCATACACACAGGATATTGGTTAAATAAATTTTGATATATCTACATAACACAGTACTAGTACATGTGAAAAATAGAAGGAATTTTACTTTTAAATGGAGTGTTTAGGCCATTTACATGATACTTGGGTTTACATCTACCATCTTGCTATGAATTAATAATGGAGTGATTCCTAGGACATATTGCCAAGTGAAAAACAGCAAAGTATTAACATGTATGTAGTATTTTGTCTTATCTACAAAAGAAGAAACAATGATATGTATAATTATTTTTACAAAAATAAACTCTGTAATTATGCTGCAAAAATTAGTGCATGGGTTAATCAAGGGAGAAAAGAGTGACACTTCTCTCAATATACTCAAATATATTTGCATAGTTTTTATTTTTTGAACATCATATTAAGGTTTTACATATTAAAAAATAAAGTCAACAAGGTTGGATAAATCAATACTTAATGCATACAAGAAAGTAAAACTGTCCTAACTATTAGCAATTGGTAATAGAACCACACAAAAGTAGAAAATTCATACTAATCCTAGCCTTTTGAACACAATGCTTTGACTTAGATACCCTTGGTGGGAAACATTCTAAAGACAAAAAAAAATTGCAATAAAAATGTAAATATAGCATTTTATTTAGCAGTATGAAAACAGGAATTCTGAAATGAATTTGTGTTGTAGGATTTAGAAAATATAAATAATAAATAAATAAATGTCTTGATGCTTTGGGGGAGCAGGTTACTCACTGTGAGAAAAATGAGGAATAATAAGGAATAGGGAAAGTAGCAGAAGAATCCTGTGAGACTGGATTGGGATTAAAGGCATAGATACATAGGAGAAATAACATACTAGGAGGAATGAGTGTATCTAGATTCCACATCTTGGTTTATAAAACAGCTGGCCTCTAAAAAGAACAAGGTTCCTTGCATGAATTGTCTGTTTTTGAATTGTCTGTTTTCACAACTGGGGCATTGTTGCTGTTGAAAAGGCATTCATCCATCTAATCATTGCTCTATTGAAGTGACCTATCTTTTTTTTCTTTAAGGTTGATTTTTTTCTGAAATGTTGCTATGATGTGTCTAAATGTTTATTGCTTTTTTATTCATTCTTCTTGAGACCTATTGAGCTCTTTAAATGTGAGATTCAGTGCCTTTCATCTATTCTAAAAGCCATTATTTCTTTAAATATTGTTTTCCTTCCATCCTTTTCACATCTTCTGGATCTCTTCCCACTTTATACTATATGTCTGTTATCTTCTTATTCTCTCTTCTATCTTTTCTATTCTTCCAATTTTCCTTGCTGCATCCATCACAGTTTCTTCTAACTGACCTTCAGTAACACTCTGTGTCTAAACTGCTTTTGAGTTCTTTGATTTTCATGTAAAGCTTAACCTATAGATTTCCTAGTTGCTTCTCAAATCGTAAACGTCACTGTTTATAGTTTGCAGTTTCTTGATGAAATATTTAAGTTCAGCTTGTAATTTCCATGTGAATCACAAATAGTTGTTTAAAGTCTGTGTCTGGTAATTCCACTATCTTGAGTGCTCATAGGTTCATTTGTATTATAATTTATTGTGTTTTATCTGATTAATGTTGTCTTATCTCTTCATGTGTCTATTATTGTATCCTGATTACTGGAATTGAAAATCATTGAAACAAATCATTTGAAGCCTAGAATAATGATTTTTATGCTTATACCAAAAAACACTGGAAATATGAAGAATATGAAATCACCTTAATCCAATTTCCAGGCTCAAGATTTTTCTTGGTTTCATAGGTGACTTCATCTGAATTCCATGTCAAGGGTCATCCATCCTTACTTTTAGTGTACAGGCCTTTAAGGTCCAAAAAATAAATTCAAATTGGTTGACTCTTGCCAGGCTCTATATTGCTATTTTGGTCTTTCTTTGCTCATGAGACAGTGAAATGAACTTCTAAACCTGTCAATCACATCTTCAGGTCTACAAATGCATTACTGGCAAAAGTGACCTAAAAGTCATAGTCATTCTTCCTGGATTTCTGTTTCTTTCTGGATCCTTCACTATCTTATTAATTTCTCAATGCTAATAGTATTTTTTCCATATTTTTAGTTGCCTTTAGCACAAGAATCATTGCAGATTACCCATTCTGTCATTATTAGAAGCTAATGCCCCTAATACTCTAATTTAATTTGGCTGTGTATTTGCTTTGTAAGCACCATTGGAATTGGTACTTTGTAGATGAGCTCTTCTGGTGTTGTGGGTAAAATCTGTGAGCCCTTGAATATGCAGGTCAAATTTTATATATAAATTCACTTTTTTTCTGGAGAAGTTTCATTGCTTTTTACTCAAAGATGTGTGTATATATATTCACCTACAATGGAATAATCTTAGAACTTAAATAATTAATTTTGTCAATAAACTCAGAGTCAAAATCTTTAGATGACATCAGTGAAGACTGAATAGAGGTTTTATTGGTCTTGTAAACTTTATCAGAATCTTTTATAGAAACATAACTTTAAAGAGGAATTATTTAATGATACACTAAATGTACGTTTCAGCTGGGAGAGGGAAAAAAAGGAAAAAAAGAGGACTTTAAAAGGCCTTACATTCCAATTGGTCAAATTTTGTGACTTGAATATTAGCAATGTTAAGACATTTATGAATATCTCTAATATAAGCAGTAAAACGATCTTCCTTTAACCTCCCCCAAATCTTCAAAGAAACTGATAAATTTTTTTCTCTTTTGTATAACCAGAATCTGAGAAGATATTTAAAAATGGAAGTGCATTAGTATATTTTAGGTTGAACACCATAAATTTAAACATGTTTACTTCATGAAGATTTGTATTGTACAATTAATTTTTTCCACTAAAGAAGATATAGAATTAGAATAAAATTTTTAAGATTAATATTCTGGGATAGATTTAGCTTTTCTAAGATTTAAATACTATATTTTTTAAATTTAGAATTTACCATATGTCTTTGTCAACTTCAAATCATTTTAAATATCTGTTTTTTTTGTCTGTGTTGCAGAATTCACTGGCATATTGATTCAAAAAATAGTTTAGCAGCATAAACGGAAACCTTATATTCATATATTCACAGACATTACATTTACTTCATTATTGTTAACCTAAATATCAGATAAATAGGTTAAGAATAATTACTAAACAGAACAATCCCGATTAAACGCAAATGTTACCAGTCGACGTCTGTACGTTGTTCACAGTACATAATCCGAAATTATTGAGCATAGCCGCTGCAATTCTAATGGCTAAGAAAGTCAATTACCTATAGAAATTGCCCAAACTATAGCAATCTTCATGATGGCCTTAGTCCGCGAATTGAAACGGCTATGCTCAATAGGATTACGTATTGCTACATACCGATCCAGCGATATAGCGCAGAGGTGCATGATGGACGCTGTAGAAAATAAAACATCCAAAGAAATCCAGACGGGGCACAAATATCTAGGTAGTGGCCAGACATAATCTGAAAGAGAACAGAGAAAAGACAAGAATATATTACCCAAACTATACTGTCTGTAGTTTAAAATTTTAATCTATTTATATTTTTTGTCATAATCTTTTTTAAAGGCAGTGAAATTTGAGAAACATTATTTTCTATAGTAATGATAATAATGACAATGGTGACGATAATATGCCTTCAGTGTTATACACATTGTTTTTTACTGAGGTAAACTTCATGTAACATAAAACAAATCACCTTAAAGTGTCCAATTCAGTGGCACTTAATATGTTCATAATATTATACAACCATCACCTCTTTATAGTTTCAGAACATTTCCTTATCCAAAAGGAAATCAGTACCCATTAAGGACTCCCTGTTCTCCTGTCCACCAAACCTTGGCAATCTCTAATCTTTTCTTTGTCTCTATGGATTTAGCTAACCTGGATATTTCATCTAAATGGAATCATACAGTAGGTGACCTTTTGTGGTTGGCTTCTTTCCCTAGCATAGTTTTTGAGGTTCATCCATTTTATAGCATGTATCAGTACTTCATTCCTTTTTTTGGCAGATGATCTTATCAGTTGAGATTTTTTTGATGCTCTTGTAAAGAGAACTTTTTTCTTTATGGATTGCTCATTGCTAGTTTATAGACCTATAAGTGATCTTCATGTGTCAATCTTGTATCCTACAACTTTGAGAAATTTATATATTAGATCATTTTGTGTATGTGTGTGCAAGGGTTCTTAAGGATTTTCCATAGATAAGATCATCTGCAAATAAAGAAAATTTTATTTTTTCTTTTCTAATTTTTCTGTGCAGTTTCTTTATTTCTTAATTATTCTCCATGGATACATTTCCATTACAATGTTGAATCAAAATTGTAAAATCAGGTGTCCTTTTTCCTGATCTTAAAGGGAAATATTTTATTCTTTCATTATTGAGTAGGATGTTAGCTGTGCATTTTTCATAAATGCTTTTTATCATGTTAAGGATGTTTCCTTCTATTCCTAGTTTATTGAGTGTTTTTATCATGAAAGAGTGATGGATTTTGCCAAGTGCTTTTTCTGAATCAACTGAGATGATCATTTGGTTTTCTTACCATCATTCAATTAATGTTATGCATTATAATGATTGATTTTTGTATGTTGAACCATCCTTGCATTCTGGGGTAAATCCCACTTGGTCATGGTGTATAATATGATTCTCAACTTAGTCTTGTAGTATTTTGTTGAGGATTTTTGCATCTATATTCATGAGTGATATAGGTCTATACTTGTCTTTTGTGTGATAGACACACAAAAGAGATTCTGATAGAGATTACATAGTATCTGTTAATTGCTTTGGGAAAGATGGCCATTTTGATTATATTAATTCTTTCTATCCATGAGCATGAAATAGATTTGCATTTATTTGTGTCTTCTTCAATTTCTTTAATCAGTGTCATAGTTTCCAGAGTACAGGTGTTTTACCCTCTTGGTTAGGTTTAGTCCTAGATTTATTTTTGATGCAGTTGTAAGTGGAGTTGTTTTCTTGATTTCTCTTTCTGCTTGTTCGTTATTAGTATATAGGAAAGGAACAGATTTCTGTATACTGATTTTGTATCCTGCACAAATCCTCTATTTTCTTTATGATCCATTGTCTAGTTCTATTCATTATTGAAAATGGGGTGTTGATGTCTCCAAGTATTATTTTAGATTTGTTTTTTTCTCCATTTCTGTCACTGTTGCTTCCTGTATTTTTTGGTCTGTATTTTATATTTTGGTCTGTATTATATATTTATGATTGTTATAGCTGCTTGATGATTTGACACTTTTATCAACATAAATGTCCTTTGTTTCATAACAATTTTTGTCTTAAGTTCTATTTTGTCTGATACCAGTATAGGAATCTAGTCTTTTTTATTACTATTTGTCTGGAATAACTTTTCCATCTTTTTACTTCTAGCCTGTTTGTGACTTTGGATCTAAAGTAAGTCTTTTATTGATAGTACATAGAGGAGGAAGGGTTTTTCTAAAAATCCATTCTTACATCATGTATTTTAAACCGTTCTCCCAATCTCTGCCTTTTAATGGAGAGTTTAATCCAGTCACATTTAAAATAATTACAGTTAAGAAAGGATTTGAATTTGTTTTCTGTATGATACATGCCATCTTCCTTATCAATTCCTCTGTTATTGTCTTCATTTATGATTAATTGATCTTTATATGGTATGTTTTGGTTTTCTTCTTGTTTCTTTTGCTGTATATTATTTTAAGGTTTTCCTTAACTTTGGAATTAAAATTGTCACCTCAACATTATAACAATGAAGCTTGAATTAATACCAACTTGGTTTAAAGAATATACAAAATTTTTGCTTTTTTATATCTCCTCTTTATTTTTTACTGTCACAAGTTATATCTTTAGCTATTGTTTGCCTGTTAACACAGATTTATGACTGCTGTTTTACGTATTTGCCTTTTATATAAGTATAGGAAACTAAAAGAGGACCAACAAACAATAATACAATTATACTAGATTTATATTTACCATTGTACATATATTTATTTCTCCATAAACCTTTGAGTTCCTGTCTAATATCCTTTCATTTTATCTGGATGGACTCCCTTTAGCATTTCTTATGGGGTAGGACTACTAGTGATGAGCCATCTCAATTTTTGTTTACCAAGGTATTTTATTTAATGTAAATATATTTGATATATATTCCAGATATTCATGTTAATTGGGCACATTTAAAGATTATAACATGCTGCTATTGTAGTGACAATTTGCACCTCTATTACATTATATAATTATCATTTTTTTAGTAGTTAGAATAATTAAGTCCTAGTACCTTTGAAAGTTTGATGATTATAACAATATTACTGTCTATATTCACTATATTTTGCATTACATCTTCATTTCTCCATTTTTTTCAAGGATAGTTTTGCCACATATATTATTTTTGGTTGACAAATTTTGTTGTTCTTGATAAAGCACTTCAAATATGTCATCTCATTGCCTTCTAGCCTTTGTGGTTTCTAAAGAGAAATTCCTTGTAAATCCTGTTAAAGATCCTTTCTAATTTTGACTATGTGTCTTGGTGTGGATCTCTTAGAGTAATTTATACTTGCAGTTCATTGAAATTCTTAAGTGTATCTTTAGATGTGTAGATTCATGTATTTCTTCAACATTGCGAGAACTTATTTCTTTAAATACTCTTTCTTCCCTTTCTCTCCTTTCCTTCTGGAGCTCCCATAATGTGTACATTAGCAAACTTGATAGTGTTATCTCATGTGTCTCTCAGGTGCTGTCATTTTTCTTTATTCTTTTCTCTTTCTGTTACTCAGACTTGATAATCTCAATTGATCTATCTTCAGGTTCCCTGATTCTTCCTTCTGTCTGCTCTCTTCTGCTGTTGAGTTGATCTAGTGAATTTTCCTTTTCAGTTATTGTACTTTTCAAGGCCCAAAATTCCTATTTGATTTCTTTTCATAATTTCTATCCCTTTAGCAATATTCTCTATTTTTTTTAGATATTCTGGTTTCCTTTAGTTCTTTTTCTATGGTTTCCTTTGGGTCCTTCAACATATTTGAGAGAATTGATTTAAAGCCTTTGTCTAGTTTAGTCTGATGCCTGGATTTTCTCAGTAACATTTTTTATTATTTTTTTCCTGTGAATGGGCCCTTGTGACTCCTGAAGGAAGGGGGTTCCCCACGTGGGGCATGTTCTCTATATATCTGATGAGACCAAAGGAAAAGAAGGGTGAGAGGTTGGGGGAGAGGTTTTTTTGTTGCTCACAGCTCAGCCTCTCTCTCAGTGCACTCCCACATCCTCCCTCCACAACCACAGCATGTTTTCCCTAAACCCCAGTTTCTTGGCTCTCCCCCCAAGCTCTGTCCCTCTGGCTGTGGCTCACACTCCACTTTCCCCTGCCCCTCCCTCTCGGAAGAACTCCATGGGCAGGTCCCTGATGACTGGTGGGTGCCTGATGAATTATGTACCAAGAATGGAGGGGAGGAGAGAATGGCTGCTACACTCCACTTCTTACCCTGGATCAGAGTGGTGGCTCTGCTGTGGTAAACATCCATTTGATATGCAAACAGGCCCTTATATGTATATCACTGTCAGGGCCAGGCAAGAAATTGTGGTCGAAAACTTTCATTTGCCCAACAGTCATACTTTTTAGTTTCTTTGTATCCTCTTTGAGGAAACTTGAATATTTTGAATGTTATAATGTGGCAAACTGGAGATCAGATTTCCCCCACTTTTACTGTTTCTTGTGGTTCAGTTTTTTTTTGCCGGTTTAATGACTTTTCTAAACTATTTTGTAAAGTCTGTTTTCTTTGTGTGGTCACCGACATCAGTGTTCTCTTTGTTTAGTGGTCATCTAGTATTTTGACAGAGGTTCTTTAAACACTTATAGGCAAAGAAAGAAAAAATACTCTTATTCTTTGTAGATTGGCTCTTTGGGGACCCTCCTTCAATGATTAGTGAGGTTGTTTATAGCTTTGTATTAGCCTTCAACTTAGTCTTGCATAGAACCTTAGAGGCTGAAGGTCAGCTCAAGTGCAGATGAAAGAACAGTGTTTTTTCAGATTTTTATAAGCATGCATCAAGCCCTACGCATGTGTGTGACCTTCCCCATTCTCTGGTATATATATGATGCCTTAAATATAAAGTCTTCTTTCCCAACACATCTCCTTTCCCGACTTCTTCCTTCCAAGGTCAGTCTGTCTCTTGTTTGTCTTGTCTGTTGTTTCTTGTCCTAGTCTGTTTCAGATAATCCTTATACCTTTACATTTTCCAGGCAAACCCCAACCAGAACATCACTCCAGGTCTAGGAATGCTCTGTCACGTAAAACAAAGGCATGCCCTTGTGTATGTACTTCAGAGATCCACTAGAGAAGTCTTAAAACACAAGCACAATTTCTGGACAATAGCATCTCTATTATTCCCTCTGGCACTAACAACCTTTACCAGAAATACAGACTGTCATCCTCCAATCAGCTGTTGATCTGGGGGTATGGTAGGCAGGCAACTTA